CCCAAATTACTCGACGGGCCCCCCTGCTTACATGATCACAATTGAACTTAATATTGAGAATGAAAAACATTTATTGTACTGAGCAAGTCAAAGAATATTGCGGAATAAATCACGTATTCATGACATTTAGCTCAAAGCACCACCAATCTCTCCAATGGTAACTTAATAGGAAGTTAATAACACGTATTGGCGTAGTGGACAGGCACACAGTGCGGGGGGCGCAAATAGCGGCACAAACGTAAGGATTCACACACATCGTCGCCTCATGCACCTGCAGCGCTTCTGTGTAGGGAGAAAAACAGAATAAAACAACATAGGCCTATATAAAAGGAATAAAAGAAATAGTCCTAAACGAAATATATTTCACTTAAATAATTCACATATTAACAAAACCAAATAAAAAACTGTTTAATTTTTGTGACCACGCTAAGTTCAAGGAAACTGAAAGCTGAAAGCGCACCCTATGTTTTCTTTATTTTATATTATATCACAATGTTTTGTTTTTATTGTGAGTGTACACATATGAAAGTGGCTCCTTTACAGTTCCCAACAATGTCTTTTTTGTATCTGTATGACCAAAAATGACAGAGTATTTTAAGTCGTTTCCGCTGTTATAAGGAAAAAATCCAAGCAATCGCGCCAGAGCCTCTCGTGGGAAACATATGTATTCGTGCAGAATGAAAGATGTATGGTGCGTTTCAATTTCTCTTTAAATACATTTGTCTTGGCTAGACTTTTATATGTTCTTTATAATGATTTCCATTTGTTTTATTTTATGATTTGTATTTATAAATTTGTAATATAATTTTATAGCGGCTTAGGCTCTGATTTGTAAGTTCCTTTGTTCTGAATACCATAAAATTTAAAAAGATTTGTTGACAACTTCTGTTTTTTTTCTCTCAATGCAATTTTGTCTGATATAGGCCTATAGCAGATTTTTTTAATCCATGTAGCAAATGTTTTAAAAATAGCTCGAAAAAACTTGACAAATTACTTTATTGCATTACAGATGCTTTTAAAGAACTTTTCACTATAACTTGGGTAGCCTGAATGTATAAAACATTGTCATAAATTCGTTGCATTCCCATTTGTAAAATTCAAATTCATGGTTATAGGCCTACAGATAGCAGAAAATACTTTTAGCATAGCATAGTGTAGCATGTTGTATAGATAAATCATATAAGACAGTGTCTTAAGTTTATAACATAGCCTACGTGATTCCTTAAAAGAAATCTCCCTTAAATTTGCTCAGCTGCGCATGCGATCTTAAATCAAATTTTGGCTGTGACTGCAACAAGTTTATCATGTAGGCTAAGTGTTTTAATGAGTGAAATATAAAGCTCTCAGGATATTTCACTCAAAGGCCACTTTCAACTACTTTAATGATGAGGCGGCTAATGTTATATTACCTATTTTTTATTGCTATATGTATTGTTTTATTATTATTGTGTTGTTGGAAATTGAAAAGCTTTAATTGCGAGTCATGTCCTTGCGAGTATTTTGACAAATTTTTTGTCCGATCCATTGCTATGGTTATTAGGCCTACTTATTGCAATTTCGAGAGTAAATCTTTCATTTGCGGATGTCACTCCGAAAACTTTGTAGAGTGTACGTGGCATCTGGTTCTCTTAGCAGCATGAAAAACAATACAAATTCTGAAAGGATTATATATGGCATAGAAAGCTCCCTTTATAATAATATTTTGATTTGGTGGAATGGGAGATCTGCATTATTGATGTGTATCCAATAAATCTGCAGTAACGGCATGATTTAATTGTATCAATATAGACCAAATCTATATGTTCGAGGAATGTTCGAATAGCACCTTGTTGAATCAATGTCACAAAGAATTAAAGGGATAGTTCACCCAAAAATTCTGTCATTAATTACTTACCCTCATGTCGTTCCAAACCCGTAAGACCTCCGTTCATCTTCGGGACACAAATTAAGAGATTTTTGATGGAATCTGAGAGCTCTCTGACCCTCCCATAGACAGCAAGGGTCCTTACACGATCAACGCACAGAAACGTAGCAAGGAGATCGGTAAAATAATCCATGTGACATCAGGGGTTCAACCATCATTTTACGAAGCTACGAGAATACTTTTTGTGCGCAAAAGAAAAAGAAAAAGACTTTATTCAACAATTCGTCTCCTCAGCGTCACCCTCTAGCGCCAGTTTGGAGAGTATCCACTGAACGCAAACAGCGTATGTCACATCATATCCGCCTTCGCTACCGTTCGGACGTTCTTGCTTACTGCTCTGCACTTTCTTCAGTTAAACAAGGAAAAAACTGAAGTCATTGCATTTGGAAACAAAGATGAAGTTCTCAAGGTGAATGCATACCTTGACTCTAGGGGTCTAACAACTAAAAATAAAGTCAGGAATCTTGGTGTGATTCTGGAGACAGACC